TTTCGAGTCATTAAGTTTAAAGAAAGTTACAGTAGATGGCACTGTGTTGCCATGTAGACTAGGTTACATTTGTCATTTGTGTACATTTGTGACTAGTCTGTCTTCAATATTTAATGTGTGTAATAGTGTGGTATCTGAGAAGTGTTCCATTTAACAATGGCAAGATGTTCATATTGTGAGCATGCAGATAAGATTTTTACATATGACTGCGCAAATGGTAATGGACAGGATACTACACAACTGTATCAGATTGCGTTTCCAGACCGAAGGCAGCCAAGTTATCCAACCTTTGCTACTGTTTATTGTCATGTTGCTGAGACAGGCCCCATGGCACCACAAACTATGAGGAAATTTGAGGTCTACTTATACACCTGACCACGAAGAATACATGCTGTTGGCGACAATCCAGGTATCAGCATGTCAAGTGGCCCTAGCATGCCATGCAACTCATAGTACCATATGGAGCAGACTTCAAGAGCAGCTCCTATATCTGTATCATTTACAACATATGCAGGATCTTTCGCCCTCTGATCACTCACAATGAGAGAACTTTTGCCAAAGGCTTATTGCACAAATTGTCGATCTGTTTGTCTCTTCCATCTTGTTTACGGAAGAGACAACATTTGGAAGAGATGGAGTAACAAATTTACACAACCAACATTTGTGGGCAAACTGGAATACCCATAGTATAATACAGGCTAGACACCAGCATCATATTATGATTAATGTGTCGGCTAGAAATGTAGGTGACTGTCTGGTAGGTCCATATGTTCTCCCAGCATGTTTTACAGGAGCTGTCTAAAGGGACTTTATTTCAAGCACACTTTCAGACCTGCAAGAGGATGTACCCCTGCTAATGCAAAGACACATGTGGTTCATGCATGATGGGGCTCCAACACATTTTAGCCACATTGTTTGTGATGCACTGGCTGATATCTATCATGAAAGATGGATAAGCAGGGAAGACCCAGTTCCATGGCCTGTATGTTCCTGCAACCTCAATCCTTTGGATTTTTATCTGTGGGGCTACCTAAAACAATTAGTTTATGCAGTAGACATTAATAATGCAGAGACACTTTATCAACATGTCATGGAGGTCAGCGAAAGCATTTGACAGTGTGTGAGAGTATTTGAAAGGGTCTGCTAGTCAATGGGTGCATACGCATGTGTAGAAGCAAGTAGAGGACATTTTGAACATTTATTATGATGGCCTTTTGGACATATGTTTATATGGACATTTTACGTTGATTTGGTGTCACGAACCCAACCCTCAAATTTGTACAAGTATTTTTGATATGTCCTGTGTGTGTGTATATCTCACTTACATGTGTGTGTGTGTACATACATATAGAAAGACACAATGTAGTACAGACATTTCACACTACCCTTTGTGAGCAATATCACTGTATATATGCCCAAAGAGACTATTTTGAATGAGATGAGGTGATGAGGTATTATGTAATCTTTCCATGCTCAAATTTCTCAAGATTTTCCAACAAGATGATAGAATAAAATAAAGCACAAGTAGGAAACATATCTCAATCTAACATGTTTCACTTTTATTGAAGCTTCATCAGAGATCAAGATAGAAATGAAAAAGCAGAGACATCACCATCTTTCTACAGATCCATTATTCATGAATATAACTTATGTCTAATACATAAAATAATGAAAATTTACAAATCCTTTTCAAAATAAACACACGAGAAATGCTTTAATGATGAATCCAAATGAAAACATGGTTATTACAATATTTTGACGTGCCTCACTGGCACACACAGAGGTGACAACAACAGACATTCCCCACACCAACATAAATGAGATATTCCTTATACACACACTTATACACTTACATGAATTGTTGTTACCAGCCAACATACACCTAGACACACAAGCATTTCTTTACATACATACTACTACACTATCACACATTTTAACATCCAAAATGTTCCTCACACAAATTTATATATTATCTACTGTGTTTATACATGTGACTGACCGATAAGAACTAACTAAAAATCTTAACATACCAGTATTCTGTGTCTCTGCTTTTTCATTTTTATCTCAATCTCTTCTCTGACAAAGCTTTAATAAAAGTGAAACGTTAGATTGGGATATGCTTCCTACTTGTTCTTTATATATATATATATATATATATATATATATATATATATATATGAATGAATAAAAGGAGATGAGATAAAACTATTCTTAGTTGACGAATTTCATCGAGGGACTATCTGCCCCTGATAAAATCCCTCAGAGGACGAAATGCCTCAGGTAAGAATAGTTTTTCCTCTCATCTCTTTTTATTCATTTTGTCTACTCTACAGATGTACTCAATGTGAGAATATTTATATGTGTGTGTGTGTGTGTGTGTGTGTGTGTGTGTGTGTTATTCTTTTATAAGTCAACATATATCCCACCATAGGATGGGTACATTTTCAAAGATTTTTTTCATAAATTACCTTGTGCAGTTAATCATGAGTCAGTAAACAGATTCAGTTGACTGGCACCCCACATATAAGTTTATGGCAGAAAATATGTTACAGACAAGGAGGTGCTGAAAAATTCTCTGCTAAACTAAAAAAAGGGGAATATAAAAAAATAAAAGAATTTGAAGTCTTGTCATTCAATCAGATTTTAGGAAGTGTATTAGGCTGAAAATTTTTCAGCACATCCTCATATAGCAAGATATTACAATATGATTATATATATATATATATATATATATATATATATATATATATTATGTTAAAAAAATTACAGAACATTTGGACAATTTCTACACACTCAGTGTCCAGAAAAGAAAACTTAAAAAGCTTAATCTCAGTACCTTGTGTGTCATCTTTAATGAAATATGTATAAATGAAGGATTGCTACCTAAATACACAATATGTATATATATATATATATATATATATATATATATATATATATATATATATATATAGGTGGATCAATGTCTGTAGTATGACCTAGTTAATAGCTGAATTTTAATCATTTGGTTAAGTACTCTGGAAAAGGTGAAAATTATGTTGAAAAATTTTTGATATGTGAAATAGATTTTGTTTTCCTCGTCAGGCTATTAACTTATTGACTTAAACATATTTTCTCTCATATGCTGTCATTCATTTTGATGAACAGAAATATGGCCGTACCAGTCACCTCATCATTCGTATTGAAATAAATTAAATAAACCAGTAAAGGAATAAACAAGGACAAAATAAAGCAATTCAAAAAATTAAGTTTTTAAATTCAATAAAAAATAATGGACTTTCATCATGCACTAACTCTAAGCAGGGCTAGAAACATGTCACACCGAAATCATTCAGAATCCAATAAAAATCATCCTGGTTCAGTTTTGACTAATCATAGATAAATTAAACAAAAGGGCCCATTTAAATAAAACAATTTGTTTCAAAAATAAAAATAATAACATTCATCAAACTCAATTCATGAGAAAGAAAAAAATATATATAATAAAAATAAGGAAAGAAAGAAGTTGCGCCATAATAATTTTTCTCGGATCATATTTTGTTTGCTATTTTTATCAAAGTCAATTTTGAGTTTTGATCAACAACAACAACAACAACAATTGTAATGGAAAGAGAACGACCATAAAATGTTTTCTTGGCAATTCATTATCGTTTCATGATTAGTAGTATAGCTGTACAGATGAATATCACAATTGACCATAAAATGGCTGACATACACAGTCTGCCTGATCTACACAAAAAATCACAGTTTGAATTCAGTTTATTTTATTTTCTTGTTTTACTTCACATATGATTAGGACAGGAATGGATGTGGTGAGAGATATCAGAGTGGAGCCTGAATCTTCATTCTTGGAGAAAAGAATTTGTTTTCTTTACTTCATACTAACTTTGTTGCTATCAAAATTGTTTCTTCATACTGCTTCAGGTGTAAGATGCATGTAGTTGTTTGTAAGAAGTCAGTTATTTTTCCTTTTGCATCACCCTAACAAGAACATCAGTGTTTAACAAAGTTATGGAATTGGGTACCAAGGTCTCGTGCTGGAGAACTTTTCTGCAGGACTAAGCAGAAGCCCATTTATTCAGGTCAGGATACTGGCCTTATTTTGACTTCTTATATGTGAGATCTTAATAGACAAAATTAATTCTCCAAAGCACCGGTTCTTATAAAATCAATGCCTGCTTTTCATATAAATTCTTTTTTTTTTAATAACCTAACAAGTGTAGTTTCTTTTAAATAACCTTGTAAGTGTAGTTTCTTTTAAATAACCTTGTAAGTGTAGTTTCTTTTAAATAACCTTATAAGTGTAGTTTCTTTTGCATGACAGACTTTCTATGGTGATTCCTTGTCAATTCTCTTGACTTCATTCCAGAAAGGGACAGGGTGCTCTTTTTTGTCTCCATAAAACAATGAAAGGTACTCAAACTTTTCTAAAGATCACTAGATGCATATTATTCACAAGGAAGGCTAAAGACGATATTAGCCAAAAGTTGGCAAAATCAACAAAAGATGAAATTGTATGAATCCAGATGTGTGGAATAAAGAAAATGCTTCATGTGAAAATTTTAGAAAATAAAATAAAAATGTTTTTGTTTTTCATTCTGACCAAAGAAAGTCCAGAAAGAAAAAGAGAAAGTGAAAGTGACACACCCACCTGCATACCCACAATTTTTCCTTAAACATTCACACAATATCATTCATTGATAAAAGAAACTAAGAAAAAAGTAATCAAAGATTGAGAGAGAAACTGGAAAAGGTGAAGAAAAAAAAAAAAAAAAAAAAAAAAGAAGAAAAAATATATAGTGGATATTGTTGTTGCTGTTGTTGTTGTTGCTGTTGTTATTGGACTGGAGGTGAAACTGGTTTTTACAGTAAATCTCCATTTGGATGAGTGGTCAGTCACATCAGGAGAAAATGAAAGGATGGTTTAATTTTTTCTTTTGGTGAGGAGGGAGTTTGCTTTTTTTGTCATGTCTTTATTTTTTCCTGAGGCAGGTTTTCAGCTATAACAAATCGTAGAAGTAATCAAGTGCTTGACCTATTTCCCAAATTGATATTCCAGTTTTCAAATATTTGGCAAGTTCCAATCGGGTTTCTATTGATAAAAGTGATGGATAATAAATGATGTGATGACCAATCCCAGTTCTGTAAGGAAAACAAAAAAAATAAAAAAAAACAAATCACTTGAAGAAATATTATCTGAATACAGAATTATGTTAAAAACAAAACAGCATTAAGTAATTTTAAAAATAATAAGCAACTGAGCAGTTTAAAATCATGATTTTAATTTGTCATGTGCCCAAATTATAAGAAAAAAAATGTGCCAAAAAAGAGCAAAAAAGAAAGAGCAAAGAAAAAGTAGAGCAAAACAAAGACAAGAAAGTGTAAAAAAAGAGCAAAAAGGGTTAAAAAAAAGAGCAAAAAGGGTAAAAAGAAAGAGCAAAAAGGGTAAAAAAAAAAATAAAAAAAAAGCAAAAAGGGTAAAAAAAAAAAAAAAGCAAAAAGGTTAAAAAAAAAAAAAAATGAGCAAAAAAGGTAAAAAAAAAAAAAAGAGCAAAAAGGGTTAAAAAAAAGAGCAAAAAGGGTAAAAAAAAAGAGCAAAAAAGGGTAAAAAAAAAAAAAGAGCAAAAAGGGTAAAAAAAAAAAAGAGCAAAAAGGGTAAATAAAAAAAAAAAAAAAAAATGGGTAAAAAAACAGAGGGGGGGGGATTGGGGCAAAAAAATTTGACCCTTAAAATGCATCAAAATATTATTTCTTAATAAAAATATGTTTTCTCTACACTATCTCAAAGACTTACCTATACCCAGAACAGCTAAGTTGTCATTTTTGACATTCCTTAATATCAGGTAAAGTTTAGAAACTAAACCATGAAGGAGCAATATTAGATGTACCTATTTTAAAACAGATAACACACAGAAAAAAATATCTATTTACACTTTTGCTGCACATATGAGAATTTATCAACAAACGCAGAGGCTGACAAATATTTAATGGATGGATTTGGAAATTTTCACTTTGAAAGTTTCAATCTATACTGTTAATTTCTATTAGTGAATTAAGTGCATTGAAAAGGAAGGAAAGTATATTGAAAAACAAATATTTGTTGTGTAAAATACTGTTTTCATTATTAGGCTATAGACTTATTGATGTAGCCATCTATATGAATCACTGCTAAACACTGTAGCAATCTTTACAAGTGACCGTAAGAATTCTTCTCATCTTTTATTAGTTATTCACATTATTCACAGATGAAGATTATTATATTTTTACTATAAATAATAAAATAATGAGCCAATTTCAATAACAATTGAAAGATGTCATTTTTAACACCTCACCCATTTGAGGTTCAACTTCTTTTTTTAATAAGATATATCTATATATTTCTTTTAATGAAAACCATGTTTATATATAAATAAACAAAAATAAGTGTTATAAATTCTCATTGAACTAGATGTTATATTGAAAATATGACTCGAAAACTATGAAGGTGTTAGTTTGACACTTCAACCCATTCTTGCATAAAAGAGGATTTCTTGTTTTTAAGTATAAAACTAAAATACATGTTTTAAAAATAAATTGATAAAATGAAATGTAATAAGTTTAATTCCGTGAAATGGAACAGAAATATTCAAAGTTCCAATGCACACTTCCATATTCTGATTTCATCAAGTCATTTTAATTGTAAAAATAACAAAATAAACAATCCACATGGTAAATTAAATTTATATAGAAATTTTGCTTTGTAAAATAGATGAGTACAAATCAACATATAAAAAATGTAATGTGTGTGCGAGAGAGAGAGTGGACATAAGAATCAACACTGTATAACTTAGTTTTATGCTTCAAGTCTGAAGATTGCACTGAAGTGTGAAACTGACTGATACCATGAAGTGTTGATTCTTATATTCATACTAAATGAATTCTTTATATCCAATATTAATAATTCTTCCCTAATAAATATTGCAAATTTTAATTATATGTAAGTGCGTGTGTGTGCGTATGTGTGTAATACTTTTCACAGAGAGCACAGATGCTATACTTTGATCCTAGCTGTGGATATGAGACTTTAAATTTCAGTAGTGCCCTCAAATGATCTGAAGCATAAGTAACAATCTGTACATAAATAAGGCCATCATTTTTAATGGACACATCAGGCTAGTTCAGATAAAACATACAAGTTTTTAGAAAAGAAAGGTGGTCAGGAGGATAAAATGTCGCATTAAATTTAGAAAACCAGAGGTAAGAAAAGGAACCAAGGTAAAGCAAGATTTTAGCTAAAACCATTGGTTTACAGATCACTCTCCCACATTAACATGTCTGAATCGAATGTGTCTTTCAAATGCCTTATTTCTTAAATTAGGAACATTTAGAAATCATCAGGTGAAATGAGATTAAAAAAAAAAGAAGACATGTTGAAATTGGATTAAAGGAATGTGTATATATGTCTGTAGTTTATGTCAAGATGAGTGACATTGGCTAAAGGTCAGGTTTTGGAGGTTGAATATAAGAAGCATTGTAAACAAATGATTAATCAATATAGACATTTTTCCTCCCCTTCTCAAAAAAAAAAAAAACTTCTAAGATTAGCAGGATATTACAAGTGAACATACTTAAATTGTAAATTACCAGCACTGTAATGAATTAGTGATGACCAACAAACTGTATGTTAAACAAATTATGGTCAATGCAGGAAGAATAAGTATATTGTAACAATGGATAAACTTGTTTTTTTTTCTTTTGTGAAAAGATGCTAGCCTTCCTTTGCTGAAAGATGCTAGCCTTCTTTTGCTGAAAGAGGCTAGCCTTCTTTTGCTGAAAGAGGCTAGCTTTCACTAATTCTTAGCAGACTAAATCACTGAATCAAAACTAAATTTTATGAAGAGCATAAATATTTTACAATAATAATTTGGTTAATAAAAATTTCAATTTGCTAATTCTAGATTTACAACAATCAATTTTTTTGTCTTGGTATAGCAGTTGTCTGCATTATACACAAATAAAAAAAAAAACAGATGTAAAAAAAAAAGTAAGGACATCAAAATTATACTTTTCTTTTTAAAGTTATCTGCTATAAAATCATTTAATTTTTATGAACTCAAAACTACAAATATGTCATATGTTCTCAATTTTTACTAATTATACAAAGAACTTTATCAGAAAAATAATCAGTATATATACATCAAATATTATTTAAAAAAAGATTGGATTGCTAAAATTTATTTCTCTGATGATTTATCTGACAAGCATATACACTCCTGATCATAAATTTAAGTCCACTTGAAATTTTTTTTAAAACAACTGTTTTTCATGGAAAAATTTTAAACATTTCTTAAGGTTACTAATTTTATAATCTAAAAGGTTGTGTAAACAAAAAGTCATAATCTGAACATTTTATTGAGAAATTGACAATTTTTATAAAATGAGGCGTTTTACACTTGATCAAAATTATAAGACCAAAGACAAAAATTCTATGAAATTGTACGAAAAATGTACGAAAACATTCAACAACCAAATTTAATAATGAGTTCTACTTCCGCTGGTTTTGATTATTTCAAAAATTTTTTGGGGCATGCTAGAAATTAGTGCTTCCATTAAGCTGTGAGGAATATTGCTCCAGCTTCTGAAGATAGCTTCACAAAGTTCATTTTTTGTTGAATATTGTTTGCCATTTTGATAAACATCTCTTGCCATCCATCCCCAAACATTTTCAATTGGGTTCAAGTCCGGTGAGCATGCAAGATGTCTCAAGAGATGGACCCCATTTTCTTGTAGAAAGGTCAGGGTCCGGCATGCAGCATGGATTGCAGCATTATCCTGTTGGAATAACCATCCATCCCCACACAAACAATGGCCCTCTGTCACCAACGATGATTTTTGTAGCATGCTAATATAACCAGCTGCTGTCTGACGAGAAAAGGCACCCCATACCATTAGGGACCTTCCACCACTATGAGGTGTGGAGAAAATTTCAGGAGGCATGTTTTTGTTATGCCAATATCATTGAAAGCCATCAGAACCATCTAGATTTAATTTTTTCTCACCAGAAAACAGGACTTTCTTCTACTTCTCAATGTCCCATGTTTGGTATTCACAACCAAACCTTAAATGGTTCACTTTGTGACATGGAAGCAGCTGGGGAATTTTTTTGTGCTTTTTATTTACCATGCCTTTTTGTTGATGGTTACTGGACTGCAATCAGCATCTGTAGCTGCCTTAATTTGACTAGAAGAAAGTCCACTGACTTTCACAACAACCCATCTTATACTCAATACCAGAGAAATTTTTTGGGACCTACTAGTAGACTTTGTGTTTTCATAATTCGCACTGTCCTTTAGAAAGTTACAAATCACAGTTTTACTGCGATTTACCTTAGCTGCGATCACACACTGTGACAAACCTTGATTATGAAAATCTAGAATTCGAGCACGCTCAAGTTCAGTAAGTTTGCTTGCTTTAGGCATGGTGACACCTTTACACTAATCTCTGACTGAACTAAAAACATTGGAATTACCCTAGATCTAACAATTTATACCCCCTGGTCTTATAATTTTGATCAAGTGTAAAATACCACATTTCATAAAAATGTCAATTTCTCAATAAAATGTTCGGATTATAACTTTTTGTCTACATAACCTTTTAGATTATAAAATTAGTAACCTTAAGTAAGAAATGTTTAAAATTTTTCCATGAAAAACAGTCTTTTAAAAAAATTTTTCAAGTGGTCTTAAATTTTTGATGAGGAGTGTATCTGAAATATTTACTCTTGTTGTGAATACTTCAATTCAATATTAAATGTTTATTATTTTAATATTGGACAGTGGATATCTACTCACTTGTATTGAATTGTGTGTTCAGCACTGTTTTGATCCCACCTGATGTCAGGTTTGTGTTTCTTTAAAATTTCAATAAATCTGGAAAAAAAAAAAAAAAAAAAAAAAAAAAAAAAAAATATGAAAAGATTTTTTATTGTCAGTAAATCAAATGATTCCTGCAAATACAGGAAAGACCCTGAAGAGGTTAAGCATTCTTGTTGTCATTGCCTCAAGCAACATATGGTACTTAAGAATTATAAATTACTACAAGCATCAATAAAAGAAGATAATGTACTATAAAGTAGGTTTTTCTTTTATTAATTAAATTGTTTTTGCCAAGAAAATCACAACAAAAAGTTATCTCTGATTAAAATTAAAGCTAAAAACATAAGAATCAAACCCTCTTGATATTCTTCTTTTTTAGTCCATTCACTCTATGTAATATAGAAACTACTAAGAGGCAAAGAGTTACAGAGAGTGAAGGAAATAGTGAAAATGTTATTGAGTAAAAAGGACAATTAAAGGAATAGGTTTCATGGTGACAGAAAATGACAAGTGATGTTGCATTTAAATCAAGAGATGTTGTGTTGGATTTTTCTTGCAAACTAACCGATATGTAAAGATAATCAAAATTGTTAGATAGCAGGCAAACCCTATAAATACCCACCATTGCCCAAATAAGCAAATCCTAATAATACCTACCGTCACCAAAATGGGTAAACCCATTAATACATACCATCCCCAAAAAGGGCAAACCCATTAATACACACTGTCCCCAAAATCAGGCAAACCCCATAAATACTCATCATCCCAAAATCAGGTGAACCCATTAATATTCATTGTCCTGAAAACAGGTGATTCCTATTAATACCTACCATCCCAAAAACAAGTTAACTCCATTAATACTCACTGTCTCAAAACAGGCAAACCATTAACACCCTCCATCATCCCAAAAACAGGTGAAAACATTAATACCCACTGTTGCAAAAAAAGGTGAATCCATTAATACTCACCATCCCCCCCAAAAGATGAACGCATTAATACTCACTGTCTCAAAAAAGGGGGAAATATAATTAATACTGCATTTTTATTTCAATCTTTATTATTAAAATCATATTTTACAGTGGGCATTAATGGGTTAAATAAACAAAAAAACTTTTAATAGTGAAAAACGAGAACAAAAGAAACTTACTTGTGACCAATGACAGGTTCTCCAGAACCAGGAACAAAATCATAACCATAAAAATTGAATCCTAAAAGAATTTTTTTCCTTAATGTAGAGTTTGATTCTGGAACAAGATTTTCTACACATGCCTTCATCCATGCCAAAGGACTGTTGGGTCCAGGTCTATTTAAAGAAAATAAAACTATATATATATATATATAAAATTTCCAAGAGGATAGAATCCAGGTAGAGCAAGAATATAATATAAATTATAATATTCATGGTTATAATTTATTACACTGGAATTGTAGGTCTGATGAATGATTCCAATATAATAAATTATAACCATAGAATATTAATGTTTGAGCCTTTTATAGTATATATATATATATATATATATATATATATATATATATACAATCTGTTGTTGGTATATAATCCAAGGTAATCCTAGTAATATAAAATATTACAAATTGATCCACAAAAGGCGCTCAATGTATTTATTATAACAGAGCATATAAATTATATATATATATATATATATATATATATATATATATATATATATACATACATACATACATACATACATGCATACACACATATATATAATTAAACAAGGGTAAACTTAAGCAAATATTGGTATTGATATCCCTTTGTTGTCCTTTGAAGAAGTGACTTCTGATAGTGTCAAGTGGGGAAGTGTATACATAAAAGGCATTACCACTTTTTAGATGTCATGCATTGAACATCTATATATTAGAAGATAGAGAAATAAAAACCACTAACATCCCAGCAGCCTTCAGAAGGGGTGCTGTCCCTTGTATGCGGTATATTGTGTTGGGTCTTAAGTTGGCTTTAAAAGTCATTAAAGGCAAAAAAACAAGAAGGGCATCAAGGGTGGGACATCCTGTTGAATCCAATCAAAAATGATTGGGGCCATCATATATATATATATATATATATATATATATATATATATATATATATATATTATTTGATTTAGACAGCAATCCTTCTTCCATGCACATCTCATTAAATACGACAGACAAGGTGCTTTTATAGTTATTGTTATCAACCAATATCTGTCTAATATTATGTACATGGCTATATTTTTCTAAGATGTTGTTTAATGGAACTAAGATCAGAACGGTACCAGGTAAGTCTACAGGAGAGTGTGGTTGTAGTAAAACCAATATATATTTTTATGGCTTACCAACCAGGTTATTTAAAAGCAGAAAATATGTTTAGATTGTAAAAATTTTGGGGAGCTAATAATGATTTTTATTGATACAAGTTCTACTAATTAACACATAGTCGGAGGGGGGGGAAGAGGTGGAATTATGCCTTCCCCATCGGTATTTGCACATAAGTGAATATAAGAAATCCAACTGGAACTGAAACTTGGCTCTTCGATTTCCAATTCTGAGCCATTATCTATTACACCACCCACACATCCAAGCTTACAGCATCTGGTATTCCCAAGTGGTCACCCATTTAGGTACTGATCAGGCTCAACATGGCTTAACTTTGATGATCATACAAGAACCAGTATTGCAACATATGGCTGTAAGCCAATGAAAGAAAGAACTGAATAAAATAGAAAATGGTTGGACATCCTCTGCTTAAAAGCAGAAAGTATCTGCTTCCATCTTGATTGTCCCAATGTATATGTATCCTATTATATATCAGTAAGGCTAAATATTATGTATAAGATGATTAAATCTATAATAATGATTCATTCCAAAGATAGCTTCTGAGGGCATTTATGAAGTGTTCCTATGGAAACCATTTAAATTTATTTTATTCTTTTGATTCTATAGTGGTACACTTTATTTTCAGCATTGTAACCAATACAGTGCAACCTTGGTTCTCAAATGTCTCATATGTCGAACAAATCGGTTTTCGAACAGATAAAAATGACTCGGCTATCAAACAAAATTTGGGTTCTTGAACAGCATTACCGAACTAAGCCAAACTGAGTTAACCCAAACAGAATCATTTCTTAGTAGACTGCTGTGTTGTATGCATTCATGTGTTGTGCTGTGCTTTTCTTTTCCAATTTTATTGTACTGTACATTTTTTTTCTCTTCATTAGTCCTCAGTCATGGCTCCAAAGAAAGCTAGCAGTGATAATGGTAAAGGAAAAAGAAAAGTTAAGACAAAAACAATTGGTGATGATATTGTCTCTTCCTATTCAGTTTCATATGGCAAAATAACCAATCTATACTATTCTTATAAATAAAGAGACGATCATGTCTTTCCTCCCCTTTTCCAAACAATAACATCTCTTTCCTTCCCCTTACGCCATCAACTCTCCTACATGCAGGTATGGTAAAATTGAACTGTTTGTCTATATTTTATCGGTTTAGTACTGTTTTTTTTTTTTTTTCTTAGATTTAATGATTTTCATTAGTTTTGTATGTAAACTTGTGCACAAAGTACTGTTGTTAAAGTTTAAATAAGCAATCATTTTAGGACCAGAAACAGATTAATCCATTTTACATTGATTCCTATTGGAAAAATAGTTTTGGGTTATGAACAGGCTTCAGGAACAAATTAAATTTGTGAACCAAGGTTCCACTGTATCTCAAAACAATGCCAGCTACAATTTTTATGAAAAAAATCTTTCTTTTAAAAACAATTTTAGCAGTTTATATTTTCACCTGCAATTTCCAGGAATTTTATCAAATAAAATCAATATGGCATATGTATTTTTTGAAAAGTAATATTTTCAAAGTAACACTTCAGCTTAGCATGTTTGAAATTTTCCAACATAAGATTAAAAATTCATCCCTCATAACCTGGAAAATTCAAAACTTATTTTTACTGAATTTGTATTTCTTATGAAAGAAATTTTGTTTGCCACCATTGTCATGTGACAAAGATACAGAATTTGTTATTTCCTTTACATTTTGCATTTAATGCAAAAAAAAAAAAAAGAAAAAAAAAATTCAAATGTAAATAGATTAATGTTTTCCTGCCAAAGATATTTTTTAGCACAGGGTAAAGTTAAATGTAATCACGGGATCCAGAATTTAATTCTTTCCTTGGATATACTTGGAGAGGAAGGCAAATTTATATCTTATACATATCTTGTACATGTGCAACGTGTTCAAAAAAACTTTCCAGAATTGTTTTATTTTTATTAAATAAAAACAAATATTGTTCTACAATGTATTCAGCCTCCATTTTTCTAGAAAGAGGGCTCCAGGAACTTATATCATTTATGTATGTTTTGTGAAGACCAATTTTATTTATTTATTTATTTCATTTATTTGAATTATATATTTTTTCAGTTCTAAGTTTTGGTATTTAAAAGAAAGTTTATTAGGTTTAGCTTATAGGATTATATTTAGTCTGAGTCATGGTGTAAGTAACATAGAGGATATTTATAGAATAGGAGACATTATATATATATATATATATATATATATTATATATATATATATAAATATATTTATGAAAGAATGGTGATACCTGGTCTGAAGATTGCTTGAGAAATGAAACTGGCAGTCACTATGCAGTGTTGATTACTATCCCACACTGTCTATATCTACAAACACTATCACTGACATAAACACTCTTCCCCTATATATATATATATATATATATATATATATATATATATATATATATATATATATATATCAAATCATAGATAGATAGAAAAGATTATATTTTGCCAAAAACAATAAACCGAAGCATTTTTGAAGGATAATTCCAAACAGTGTTTGTAATTACAAATGTTTAATATCAAGTGACAGAGCATCATCCTCATTAATAATTAAAAAAGACCTGGAGATGAAAATAAAAAAAACTGTGGCACTTGAAAACTAAAACTGTTCTTGTTGTGGTTGGAACTTTGGGTTTGGTAAAGAAAGGAACTCAATATGAAATCAACAAAATTCTCTGCAAATGTTTTAAAAAAACAAGCAAATAAAAAAGATCTAGAGATGGAAATAGAAAAAAAATGTGACACTTAAAAAATAAAACTGTTTCTGTTGTGGTTGGAGTTTTGGGTCCGATAAAGAAAGGAACTTAAGAACAAAACAGCAAAATCCCTCGTGCACCATCTCTCAAGAAAATCCCCCAAAATAGTTCTAACAAACACAGCCCATATCCTGCAAAGTGCTTTTTCAATTTTTTTTTTTTTTTTAATAGCGGTTTTTATTTAATTAAATGGAAACAACAAAAAATCCCATCCTTCACTTACCCTATGTCATGACTCAACATGTGATTATGAAACAAATTCAGGTGAAAAAGAGACTTTTTCAATTAATAATGTTTACATATCTCCACTTGGAAGTTTGTGCAGATTCTGTATTCCACTCATTAGGATACAAAAGTATACTTTTATCTCCAGATGTATGGGTTTTAGAACCTTTGAAATTGAGTAAAGATAATCAAAAAGTTTATTTATTATTATTTTATATTTGTAAGCATGGTAATGTAATGGGACACAATTTTTCACTTATGCATATTGAATAAATTCAAATTATAACTAAAATAATTGCTTTAAGAATATTCATTTTATGATTAAGGTTTTTAATGCTTAAGAATTTTACATAAAAACATTTCCATTTTCATTAAAAGCAAAACTCAACAGCCAAGTCTGATAATAACAACAAATACAAAAAAAAGCAATTTCTTTAATGATTTTCTTATTATTATTTTAGATTTTCAATGTTATTTTTTTCCAAATCATTAACAAATTGTAAAATATGACAAGACATTACAACAATAAAAATAGTCTTGAAATTTTGATTGTATTTCAGGATTGAGTATAAATATTGAGTAGAATCTACAATTGATTGATGCAAAGAAAATTTGATTTTTGACACCCAATCACAAAGAGATTTTGAAATTCTTTCCGCATCAAAATAACAACTTTAAAGAAGATTAAGAAACTACAGTGCAGTCGTCATTGATGGAATCCAATTGATTTATTGTTTTCCTTTACTCCATCGAACCAAATTTATTTGTGTATAATGCAACGTCTCACATTTCTAAAGGTAAAAAGCTTTTTACAATTTTATGCCAAATCCGCTCTTTTGTGTAAAACAATCATAGTAAATTCTTTAAAAGGAAAAAGATGTAACAATTTTGTGTTCTTAAAACAATTGTATAGATGGAATGGTAGTTTATGAGAGGAGTTGTACAACAAGACACACCACTGCACAGAGGTGGATTGATACAAACAAACAAAAAACATTTTCTCATTATTATAAAAATTTTGTTATAGTCTCTTTTAAGAAATATTTTCATCTGAATTTTATTCTTTGTTTCAAAACAAAGATGGATATTAATTCACTGTTTGCTTATTGCCTAGAAAGTATGGAAAGTTGCTAATATTTTCTCCAAACATTGCTTTTGTGAGCAGGATAATGATATTTCTGAAATTTACAGATTCCCATTGGGAGAACTGGCAAATGTGAACATTCTCATTCATGCAAAATATGAACAAAACGATGTAGGATTCAAAAATAGCATTTATTTATTCTAGGATTACACAAGAGAGACCACAAACAAATTTAGAAGTGAGCAATTTTTCATGATTTACACTTATACTGTAAATTACTTTCACCAATCAGCTCCTGTCATGTTTTTGTTATACAATCCTTGGTAGTGACATTCAAAGGCCAGTATATCCGAGTGGAACCACTTGCCTTGCTCTTCTGAGTACATCTCCATGTTCTCCTTGAATTTATCAAGATGAGTGTCAAAGAGGTAGACTTTGAGGTACATCCTGAAGTCCATTTTGCTGTAGTATCTTGGCTTTCAACAAGCTCCAGTTTTCAGCCTTGTGATTCCCCAGGAAGCCCTGAACCACTGCAACAAAATTGTTCCATGCTGCTTACTCCATCCAAGTGAGCTCCTTGAGAAATACCTTGCACACTATAATTTTCTTTATTTGCAGTCCAACAAAAACATAGGTTTTGACTTTTGCCTTGAAGGCTGCAGATTTTTTATCTAGAGCTCTTTCAAATTGTTTCATAAGGCCCAATTTTAAGTACAGTGGAGAAAACAACAATTCCCAGGGGTCCATTTGATGTTCCTTCCCACACTGAACTCAGTTCGCTGTAGCCAGTCCCATCTGTTGTAGTGTGCAGCTATGTCCCTGCTGTTCCAAAGGTAAAGATAACATGGAAACTTGGTAAAGCTGCCTTGGAGACTCATCAGGAAGACCACCATTTTGAAATCTGTGATAAACTTCTAACTGTACTCTTCATATTTCAAGGCATCTAGTAAGATCTTGACACTGCTGTAATCCTCTTTGAGCTGCACCAAGTGTGCCAGGTGAAGAAATGGTTACATGTTCATGTTATGAAACAGCACAGCTTTGAGGCTCTTGGATAAGCTGTCAAAGAGGAGGAACCACTCACTGAGGTTACAGACGATTCTTATTGCCTCAAGCAGACTGGTCATATTGTGGCAGAATCAAAGCCCATCTTGACGAGTGAAAAAGCTTCAAAAACACTAGTGATGCATTCTCTGACCTGTGACTTGCACACTTTCATCTAACAAATTCCACTGCTTCAGTTTCAACATCAAAAGCTCAGCATTAGACTTTGTGGGACCAAGGTATCCAATCAGGTCGTTGAGGTTTTTTTTGGTTGGGGTAGTATGGGTTTCACTCCTCAGCTGCAACTCTGTAATCTGGATTAATAACTTCATCCTCTTCTGAATTGTTGTTCTCTTCTGGACGGCTGCTCTCTGGATATGGGGAGCTCAGAGAAGTGTGGCACTGGGGCAATGGATGACAGATGGTCTGGTTATAGGATAGCAGGCGCATTCTTGCCAGCTCGACATTTGGATGTGTCCACCATGTAGAAGAAGCAATTGTTCGAGTGGTCAGGTTGTCCCCTCCAAATTCATGTGATTGCAAATTTCATGGCTCTATTTTTCCCTCTGTTCAGGTCACAAAAGCAAAGTTTGAAGGGAATAATAATCATTTCTTTTGCTTTCGAGACAGAAACAATTAAAAAAAAGTCAAAATTTTGTTACACAATGATTGGTTGTCACAGACAATGACATGCTGTTTATGAAAAGAAATTAACATTGGAAATTGTTTAAATCAAGCAAAACTGATCATATGTTCTGATTGCCCAAGAATAGAGACTTACAAGTGGAACTAAAATATGAAACTTACTTTATTTGATACAAATAAACAAAATTGTCAAAATATTACAATTAGTTATGAGCCCCATCACCTGATTTCGACCTTTTAACAGAAACTTTATACATTTATTAATACAGTGTGTACAAATCAAGGATAACCTCTAATTTACAGTTGTATCATTAAAATAATAATAATAATAATATCAGTATTATATCTTAATTTAGTAGTAGGCATCTGTTAGTCTCTGGAGACTATAGAGTTAACTAGGGCATCAAGCTAATCCTTGCTGCAGCCATCTGTTCAATCACATTTGAGTTATTCAACACTCACACAGCCACCCTGTGATTTATACTGCAACTATACTGGGTGAACTTTAATTACATTCATAAAGCATATAAACTGGCATGATCAGCAAAAGGCCATTACACTGAAACCTTAAAACTTCATATTAGTACAACCATCGACAACTTCTGAATAGTTTCATCTTTAACAAACTACTGGCATCGTTTGTTTCTCAAGGGTGTTGCACATTGGAACTGTCTCCCCAAGCCAATATCAAGAAATCATGTGTCTGACAATTTGACTCTGGTGAGGTTCAAACCCAATTCTCATGGGGAGAATGATAATGCCATAACTACACAGCCAAACACCCATCTCATAATCTAAAAAGAATCACTCACATGACTTGTTTCTGTTGACTAATCAAATCCAATCTTCACAACTTTGTGATTAATTGTTGTATCTTCATTTTGTATGTGCCATATTCCTTCAGGATGAGTGGGGTCTGCTATCATGGTTCTCTATAACCTGCTGTCTTTTGTAGCTCTTATTAAAGCTTGTCTTTTTGCTATCTCTCCTAATCCCTGTTCTGCCAACCATTTAGACAAGCTTGTTAGGCAGGTTATTCATAGCTTTCATCTGTCCCACTTGCCTTTTAATATATCCTGTCAGTGGTCAAATCCTCCAAGCCATCTTTCCTCATTACGTGTCCTAGAAATTTCAACTGTCTCTTTCTTTCAGATTCTAAGTATAAATGTCCCTTTTTGTTTCCATTTATTTTTTTATTGCTAAATTTCTGACTGCCATAAAATATTTTTCCTTCTTAAGGACATTTTTTACTTCAAGCTGACAGACAAGACAGTTTTGTCACTTAGTAAACTTCCATGACAAATAAACAATAGATATGCTGTCAATATTCCAATGTAAGACTACAAAAGCCAATGGCAGACGCATTTTTTTTATCTAAGCTACTCCATTTTGTAATATTTTATATTTTAATATTTTATTTCTGTCTGAATGTCTAGAATGAGGAATTAGCATTATTTTTATTGCTTATATACTGACAAATGTCTTCTTTATTGTTGAATAATGAAAGAACTTTGAAAGTTCATAGTAGGAAATATTTTTGATGTTAAGTTAAAAAGGATTGTGTAGAAGAAAAATGAAACAAAGAAGAAATTATCCTAATTCCAAGCTGGGGATAAGAAATGATCATTATTTACGTTTCATATCAATATCCTCATCTTTGTTATTTTTCGTGCAACATTGTACTATCTGACCTTCTTCAGGTGTCTGTTAATTCAGGTAACATCCAAGGAATTTAAAACTGAAACCCTTTTATGGGGGGGTTAGATTTTTCTCATTCTATTATCTATTTTAACAGATATCTAGTCTTGGTTTTTAAGTTTTTTACTACTGTTGAGTTATTGCTCGCCTTCACAATCAAATATGGCACCAACTTCACAAACCAAGCCTTTAATCCACTACACTTTTGTCCAAGACAATCCTGAAGCTAAAACTTGGAGTCTTAAACCTAATGTTCTTATTACCTGCCTACTGCTAATCCAAGTGCTGCTTTTATGATTGATCCCACTTTGACAATTCTTCCATTTTCTTACAGTTGTTAAAGCTTAGCTCTCTTCACCATCATTTCATTTTCTTTCTTTCTTTATTAACACTTTAATACCAAACTAAAACAAATCCATAAAAATAGTTTAAAGGGGTACTTCGACATGGTGTAATAGTTAGCAAGCTTGCTCCGCTAGAAAAATTAAGACTGAATAGTGAGTTTGAACCTGACTGGGGGCTCCATACATTTGGCCTTGTACTACATATAAACTACGCTTAGAAAATCATTGGGGCACCTTGACAACCGAGTAGTGTGTTTGATCTTCACCGGGTGCCCCATACTTTTGCCTTGTGCCACACTTACATGATACTTTGAAAATCGCCATGAAAATAGTCTAAAGCCAAAAATTGATTATTTGTAAACATAGAAAGGGTTGTGAAAGAATGGTTAAATTTTTTACCCAGAAAAAAAAAAAAATAATCAAGTTGCAGTAGTATTTGCAAACCAATTTTAGGTAGAAAAAAAAATGGAGTGTGGGCTGCAATAGGATTTACTTAATTTTGTCAAAGTTTTATCTAATGCAAAAAAATAAGTATTTTTTGTTTGTTTTTTAATCAGAAATTTTCTCTTTGATTTACTGATTCTTTTCTTGACAAGTCAAAATTAGATTACAAGTTTGTCTGAAACTCGTTTTGTATTGATAAAAGTTTTGGTAACAAACTGTTAATAAGATGAACACTGAAAGAAATATTTGAAGATCGCATTTTGAAAAAAATCTATTTAGAAAATCGGAGTTGACAAAGTTCTAGTGAAAATCCAGGGTAAAAGTGTAATCACATCTCTCTTATCCATTTGGGGGTTTGGATTCTTGGTTATCACATATTCAAAAACAAAATACAGTGATTACCTTTCACCTACAAATCTATTCAGCTCTAAGAATCAGCTTCTCTTCTGTAGTAAAGAACTGATAAACATGTAACAGTATCAAATTTCATGTTAATATTTTTTTTTTTTTTTAACAGAGCTGCAAAGCTTCTTTCATGTACACATAAATTATTACTGTTGTTATATAAATATTTGATATAAATATTTACCACATCATTATCAATACTATTCAGCTGTACCTTTTATTCCAGATGTTATGATGGCAGATACAAGTATTGTCATTCTGGCAGTTTTATGGTCTTATTTTAAGCTGGGCCATTAATTATTACTTAATACCAGAGTGGATAAATATTGTATTGATTTTACTCTTTAAAAATGAGTTTAGATCAGAGCCATATCAGGCACTGTAGGAATTCAAAAAGGGTTCTTTAGCAATGGAAGTAGCAAGAAATATTTTTTCTGACTATAGAAATGAAGCTTTCATTTCTCTAGTGTCCATTTCTCTAGTGTCCATTTCTATAGTGTCCATTTCTATAAGTGTCTGGACATCTAATGTTGGTTTGGCTCATTTTTATTGGGAAACTTTTCTCTTGAAGATTCCCCTCAATCTGGACAACCAAATTCTGTCAATATTGAGCTTCCACAAACCATAGTTGAGAAAAATCCTGAACAAGCTGCACAAAAATTAGCAAGACAGTTCAATAAAAGTCACAATCATAAAACACCTTGACAAGCTCAGAAAGCATCTAAGCTTGATCAATGACTCGTTAATCAAGTAAGTGCTTCTCAGCTTGAAATGTTTCCTTCATTGAAGCGTGAACTTGCTACCAAACTTTTCCTGGTTAAAGATCATCACCAGTGATGAAAAACGGGGTTTCTATAATTATATACATCAAAATAAAATGGTTAGTACCAAATGCAAAAAGAGAATCCATCCCTAAAACAAGACTAACCAGAAAAAAGTTAGGCTTTGATTATGGTAAAATATGAAGAGTATTATCAAACAAAAAAGTTAATGCAGAAAAGTATTCTCATCAATTGTAAGCATGGCACAAAAATTTGCAGAAAAAGTACCCATTATTGGTTAATCCTAAAAGCATATTGCTCATATATGATAATGCAAGAACATATGACCAGAGTCACTCAGATTACAGTATTAAATATGGAAGTTTTGTTTTATCCTCCTTATTCTCCTTAACTTGCTCCATCTGACTATCATCTTTTTAGGTCAGTGCAACATTTTCAGAAGGAAAACTGTTTATTGTGAAGAGGCTAAAATTGATGAGGAGTTTTTCTTTGCAATTTAATCTAAAGAATTTTTACACTTGAGGGAATTTGCTAAATTGATGGGATTAAGCATTTTAAGGATGGTGACTTGTCCCTTGAAATAAAACTCAGATGGGAATGATCATCTGTTGTTAATTACGACATGTAAAAATGAAAGGTGAGGGAAAACCTGACGAGTAGCACTTAAAATTTTCACAAGAGATGCAGGGCAAGTGTAAAGCAAATAAAATTTACAATAATAAGAGGGTGGGGTAATAAACACACTGGGATGAGCATAAGGAATCAATACCATTTTCACAATATCAATAGATTGCAAGACTAATTTTAAGAAAAGAATTTATTGACCTAAATAAAATTCAACTCACCTGGATGGACTTGAATAATCATAAGTCATTAAACTGAATCTATCAATGTGAGGTGAGAGAGCATTAAAATCCTCTTTGTTGAACATTCCATCAGCCCTGAAATAAAAACATTGAAATTCTAAGATTGAAAAAAAAAAATTTTTTCCAAAATTCATCTCAAATTATATCGATTTGTTTATTTTTGCTTACCAATGAAAAGACTTTATTCAAAAGTTTTCAAAAACATTACCATCTTAGACACAATAAAAACAAAAATATTGGAAAAATCCTATAAGCTGTTTTAAAGTTCCCAGCCCAACCTGATTGTCAAAATCTTAAATAAATTTTGTTGAGAAAGGTCCCTTAGTTAGGCCAAGAACTTTTAAGCCCTCAGGGATATATATATATATATATATATATATATATATATATATATATATATATATATATATAGAGAGAGAGAGAGAGAGAGAGAGAGATCTCAGTGGTGACTCCTGAAAGATATAAGATTAGCAAATAACACTATTAGATAAAAATGAATAATTTCTATTAATATAACCTATAAACAAGAAGTAGTAACATAAAATATCTTAATTTGTCATTTTAAACAGGATTCAATTGAATTCCTTTTATTGATTTCAGCATCAGCTGCTAGCTACTAAGTGCTGGGTGCAATACATACTGTCTGACTTTAGTCCTTACCCAAATTTACCCTATATTTGACCTATAAATGTCATAATTTTACTGGGGAAAGTCATTACTGTAAATTGATTTTTCATAGATCAGAGGTACAGATTTTCAAATGCGAATGTCCATTTTAAGTTTCAACCTATCATCACAATAGGTATAAATTTCACTGTGTCTACCTAAAGTGATATACGATACAGTTGAAATAAATTTTTAAATTAAATAAAGATATTTTTAATTTTCTATAGAATAATTTTTATAGTGTAAGCAATGCTTATCTTGCTTCTTAAGAAGACATAGAATTGATATTTAGTCACATAGTCAAAGAAAATGGTGGTAAGAATTATGCAAGTGTTGTGCATAGACATGTGCATAAGATGTTAAGTTTAGCTTAATGTTTAAATGTGAAGAGAGAACTGAATAAATAGGTTCTAAGCAGTAGGCGTGCAGCTCTCATTTGTGTGCCTCTGACTTAATAATTAGCATTTAGTATTGTGGCTTATTATCTGATCTCAAACACTGACTACTGAAGACAGAAAATATTCAACAACTTCAGCGACAAGGTTGGTTCCCTAGCCCCAATTTAAACCCTCCTAAGCAATCATCAGATGGAATGATGATTACTTAATTATAAAGTCACTAAGCACTGTTGATTTCTAAGTCCATACTGTTTGTATCTACAAATATCCTCTCCCTGATATAGAGCACTCTTCCCCCATAAATACAATAAATTTTAAACAAGTGTGTGTGTGTGTGTGAGAGAGAGAGAGAGGTTCTATACACTCAAACACTCCAATGAGTAATATACAGACACACTCCAGTATACCACAATGCTAGAGTTAGTTAAAAGGCACTGTCAGATATGAATTGTCTTATAAGAGAACACCTTTAGAATACATAGTGATTTTCCAAGTGTAGCTTAGATGTAGCACAAGGCCAAAAGTATGGAGTACCCAGTGAGGATTAAACTCACTACTCAGTTGTAATTGTTCTAGCAAGACAAACTTGTTAACCATTACACTGCCTCAAGGGGACTAACCTTTAGAATATATATCTGTATTTTCTGGTCAGCATAACTATATGGATTAGAGATTTTTACAGCAAATATAGATTGTGTACATCATATGGAAAGTAACTCTGATCTTGCAGTTTGAATTTGTCATTAACAGAAACCACAGTGCTTGAGGATTTTCAATATCAGCAACAACTAAAATAGATATCATATGGAACTCAAAGTGAAAATAATCCCAATCAAGATGTTGATGCTCCACATCAAATAAAAGGTTAGGAAGGAAACTGCAATCAATACTGCAAAGAGCAATAACAGCTACTGGACATGAGAAACTTATTTTCTTGAAAAATTGTTTTAAGAGAAAATTTTTATTAACTTCAACTGAAAGTATCACCATGGTCTATGAACATTGACTGTTTCCTTACAAGAAAATGACTAATATTATCATTATAACCAATGTAACAAATGCTTTTCAGTGCTGACACAATGTTATGTGTGTGGTGAGTTTATTCACAATAGGTACAGACATCATGGATTTTTATGCCTGAAATGCATTAAATAAGTGGCAAATGCTGTTAGGACTGATAACTTAAAAAGAAACTTGCAGATTGAAGACCACATCATTATCTAGATTTGTGCTATGCTATATCTAATATCAACGATTATCTGTACGTCTCTCCTTTATTATATATACATCTTACTTATTATAAAATGCAGATTGTGTGTGTGTGTGTGTGTGTGTACGTTTATATATTGGATCGGTTTCCTACATTTTTCAACCGATTTCAGCAAAACTTCACAGGACTACGTAAAATTACCTTCTATGTGGTTCTGACAGCGCCAAAAATTGGAAAAACACAATTGTTTTTGCACAAAATCAATTTGAAAACACAATAAAACCCGATTCTGTCACCAGAATGAAAGGGGGACAACTCATATCGAGTTATACTTATTATAAAACACAGGTTGTTTGTGTGTGTGTGTGTTCATTTATATATGGGATTGGATTTCAACAAAACTTCACTTTTTTTGGCAGGTAGTGTTTCTTATTGTCTTGCACACTTTTTTCTTTATTTTTACATTCAGAATGCTTTAAAAATTCCATTTACAAGACAATTGTTTATAATAAAATTCTATTCAATTGATAGACTCATGATTGAAAACAATGTTTTTGTTTGAGTTTGACCAATTCGTAAAAAAAAAAAAAAAACTAATTAAGACATTTGTGTCCGTCAACCTTAAACAATAATCTTTGTCAATTTTATTTTATGGTCGATACTTGATCTATCTCTTACTGTTACATCCCCGGGCAACGCTAGGTTTGATAATAAAGTCAAAGGTAAATTCAATATTTCTCATTTTTTTTTTTAAGTATAAATTCAAACCTAATTTTGTTTCTGATTTCAAATAAATATTTTATAAAGAAATAAAATTATTTTATTTTGTTAAGGTACATATAATATAGGATATTAAGGTATATATAATATAGGATATTTGTTAAAACTAGATTAGTCTGCCACATGGCCATACACAGAGAGCACCCAATGAGGATTGAACTCACTACTCTAGTTTGTTCACCACTACATCATAGAAACATGTTCAACAAAGTATATCTTTGCAACAATTCGAGATATTAATCATATATCATGAATTCATCAGGGAAGACTAAAAACAACAAAAAATTCAACAAATGTTATTTTACAAAATGAAGTACAATGAAAATTCTAAAAATTTACAATTATAAAAAACAAAACAAAAAAATAGCTAAAACCAAAAAAAAGTTGGCAAAGTGGAAATTAGATAATTACCCAGATTCTGCTGATGGAGGAATAACAAGTATAAGGAAACGTCCTTCTTCTCTGAACATCTGTCCCATGTGAGTCAAAAAATGAATCAAATCTCTAAATTAAAAAAAAAAACAAACAAGATAGTGAATAGTCAAATATGGTAATAATTATCACTGACCCAAAAAAAAAAAAAATTATAGTTTCGTTTTTACATTCCCAGAATTTAGGAGTTAATGTTTGTGATGGACCTTCAGTATTGCATTAAACTTGATCTAAGTCAGTTTTTGAGCTTTCAGCTTTCTCCAAGAAGGAGAATTCTATATATCAATAAAAAAAATAGTTGGAACCCACACTTAATAAGAGTGAAATAAACAGTTTCATTTCCTTGGGGCTTACTAGAAGATTATGGGCTCAAGAAATTTCAATCTTTCTGATGTTAAGTATAAGTTTCTTTTCTGTTTCCATTTTCCCTAAAACACTGTCTTTGCTCACACATTCCATTCTGTAGAACTACATTCCTGTTGCTTCAAGTCTATTCTTCATCTAAGAGGAGATGCCCTGCATTCACTGTCATATAGGACGACTGATATTACATAACAATTCAATAATTTTTTATGTTTCTAACAAAATTTTCCTGTTTCTTAATACTTTTCCTAGCTTTTTTCACACTTCAGTGTCACACTTTCCGTCTTCTGCTAAAACACTTACCAAGTATTTAAATGTGGTTCTACAGAAAGATGCTGAAAATACCATGGGTGGAGTATATGAGCGATGAAACAGTTTTAAGGAAGGAACTCTAATACTTAGAATTAGAATGAGAGGTGACATTTCTAGGACACAATGAGGAAGGAGGGCTTGGAGAATTTGACACACACAAGACATATTGAAGGCAAGAGGGGCAGAAGGAAACAAGTTTGTGTAAATAGATGGCAGAACACAGAATGAGAATGAAAGTAAAAAAAAAAAAACATTGCTAACAGCTACAAAGGATAGGAAGTTGTGGAGAGCTATGATCACCCATGTCCTCAAGAGACACAGCACATAAAAGAAGTGAGAACTGAACTCCCCACACAGTAGTAACTGTCTGTTAGTCAAGGCTTACAACCACATCACATAGATAGACCGGTTCACATACGATCACCAGTTAAGCAATATTGAGCCTCATCAGTGGATAATGCATTAGAATTGTTAATCAAAGCAGAGTTCTAATTTCCATTGAGTTTGTTATATTCACTTACAGGCAATTACCCTTGCTAAAAATGTATAAATCCATCTCTTCTCTCCTCAGCTATGGGTTAATTAGTAAGACTTATAACACTAAATAATTATTATCTCAAAAAAAAAAAAAAAAAAAAAAAAAAATAATTCTGAGAATCTTGAATCTGTTAAATGTTCAAAACAACAAGGTCGATGAAAAATTCCAAATTCAGTTTTACAAATCCAAAAGGCAGGAAAGACGAGTAATATAGAAATCAGAAATTAAAAAGTTCAATGGGCAAAATAAAGTATAAAAAATCCAACTCATAGACTCAAACACAGGAAACTCACTCACAAATCCAAAAGGCAGGAAAGACATGTTGTATAGAAATCATAAATCACAAGTCCAACATCAAAAGTCCAATGGGCAAAATATGGTATAAAAAATCCAACTCACAGATTCAAACAGAAACCAAATAATCCACTCCCCTCATCAAGAAAAGCAACAGCTTTTATTGAGAAGGTAAATTTTTCAATTAGTTATAATAACTGGGGAGGATAAAAAAAAATTACCATATGTGAGGCAGTAATTATCAAGGATGTTTTCTTAAATTTTTTTCATCAAACTGTGCACAGGACACAAACACTTTTTTGGGGGGTAGGGGGTAGGGGATCCCCCCCCCATTTGCCACAAATCCAAAAATATTTTCTAATTTTAAATAACCTGCAAAGCCATAGAAAACGAATCAATCAAAATGTTAGTCGATCGTGCTAACCATTACACCATAGTGAAACATCCAGATAACAAAGTCTTATGGTTCTGACCAAGAGAGTGTTGCTGGCAGAAGAGCAAAGAATAAAAATATAGCACTCCATTAAAAAAGCATAGATATTGATTACAATTGAAAACTGTACCTGTTGGAAATTTGCCATTAGCAGGAATTGCCTTTGTAGCACTGGTCATATGTAATTAGAAAGCAGTAAAGCTGATAATCTTTTAGAGGAAAGTCGAGAAATGATAGAAACACTTTAATTTTACAGCAAGCATCTTAGCTTGTCTACTGCCAAAACCTATTTGTATGTCTACACTACGAATCTCTTCTTTACCAACAATATCTATTGATTTTTATTGTGTTTGGAAACAAGATCTTTTTTCTTTTAATCTCATCCTATTTACTCAAAAATGATTCCTCCAAAGACTTACAATAACTATCAACCACCTGAAAGATGAAAAACACGTCTTATTTATTTATTTTTTTTAAACAGGGAAGGGCAAATAAACTTTTGAAAAACACCATGTTTGGAAGGGAAAATTTTTTTTTCCTGATAAAACCATTGAAAGTGAAAGAGGAATTTGTTGCTTTGGAAAACCTTTTTATGTATTTATTTTTTTTTTAAATGCAGGATTTCTTTTTTAACGTTCTATGAAAAACAAACTCAGTTTGACAAGAATGAGCCATGAGATTATTATTATTTTTTTTAATGTTGTATTAACAAAAAAGAATTAATCTTTCTTAAGACATTTAATAAAAAGCTGGAAAAAAAAAAGGAAAAATACAAAATAATTTTCTTTATTGAGAAATGCCTTTGTGTAGATGTGCATTACACAAATGTATTAAAATTGAGACCAAGAACAATCCAGATTTACCGCAAAGACAAACTTGCATATTAACTCTAAAGAAAAATTATTTCAGACAATAAAACAAAAACATTTTTATTAGCTTAAAAATTAACTTTTAAAAAAGTGTTTTATCTTAAAAGTCAGTTATTTCATCAATTACATACATAGCCATGTGTTTTACTGAAGCAGTACCAGACTTAATTTTGCACAAAGCAAAGCAGGTCCTGCTTGACAGAATATCTCTCATCATAATGATTAGAGGCAAGTTTTTAAAGAGCTGGATGATCTTCCTGTCTCCTAACTTAAACACTCATGATAGTCCAAGTACACCAAGTATTTTTTTATCAAGACACCATCTATAGGAATGTTAGCTCATCTGGCCATTGATAAGTTTTGTTTTTCATCCTGAAAAGCTAGTGTGAAAGGTGGTTTAGATGCCAACCACACAATAGGTTGTACTGGGTTACAAGTTACCAGCAACAGGCTCTAGTCAGATTTGACCATCAATTCAGTTAAAAAAAAATTTTTTTCAAGATATTAATGTATTTAAAGACAAAATATTCAAAATATGCAGAAAGATGACTAAAGATAAAAAAAAGAAAACGTACGTTTTTCGATGCCCACCAAGTTGAGACCAAATCTCCAGCACAATTCCCTGGAAATGCTGAGACTTGAAAATATGAAAAAAATAAATAAAAAAATCAAAAGTAAAATATAAATAGATATTAATTCGTACTTGAAATAAAGTAATCAAGTTGAAAAATTTACTTCTTATAAGTGAAATTTAACATTTCTCTTTTTATAAAGTCAATATACACATTTTATATATTCAACCTGGACTAGGATTTCCAGTTTCAGGTGCTCTATTTGAGGGTATATAAACCCCCACCCCGCTCCAGAAACAGAAAACAAAAAAAGGTTGGCTCAAAGCCCATTTCTGCAGTAGATTAACATTACTTGTATCTAACTTGATAGTGTACTGTAATATTAAATGTAAATAAGTCGGGGGGAGGTGTCTTATATGTCATTAAATATTTAAAGAAAAATATTCTGACTAGACTTAGAATTTTAGATTATATTTACAAAATAATTTAAATATTTCTTGAGATTTCAACTATTTTTTCTTCTTCTCTCATTGGCGATTTGCCCAAAATATTTGTATCTGTCCATTAACCAGAATGCTCAGAGGATTTGGATTCATGCACTAACCAAATTCAATGTTCCATTTCATTGATCAAATAAAAATAAAAATTTATAACTTGTTAAGGCCATCAACCAGTTAGAATCTATTGACAAGCCACAGTCCAAGTGACTGATTGGCCTGTTAAGAACGACAGTTTTCACTACAACTCGATTCAATCGATACAGAAATAAAAATAGAAGCTACAACAAAAGAAAAAATAATGATTATTCCTTGTAGCAAAAGTCCAATTCTCTTACTTTCTAATGAAAGAATTGAAGTGGCAAAAGAAATACTAGTTTTTACTGAAGTAAAATAAGGAACATTTCAAAATAGTCAATATTGTAAGAACTTATGTTTTTTGAAAATTGTTTTCTTACAAGTATTTGCTTGGATTTTTTCCTAGCCAATAAAATAGGCTGGTTCTCAGTTTCATCTGTCTCAGTCCCAATCTGTCTTGCCTTGAAGTCAAAACGCTGCATTCATTCATCTGAATTTATGCTTACAGTCTCTTCTCTCACACTTTTAAACATGGAACTCTCTTCTAACCTCTCGCTTTACAGTCAAAAGCTTAAACACAATATCAATCTGTTGGTTTCAATCTCATTAGGAATAACTGCAAAACACATTCCCCTCCTCCTCCACACACAAATGCATGCTGGGATTTTTTCCTAGCCAATAAAATAGGCTGGTTCTCAGTTTCATCTGACTCAGTCCCAATCTGTCTTTTCTCAAAGTCAGAAGCCTACATTTGCTTGTCTGCTTTTGTGTGTCAATGCCAATTCTTAGTTGGTGAAACTTTTTGCCATATTACTGTTGCTTTGACTTATTATTGTTAATTTACCTTTTCACATATTATTTGATTGTTTTAGATTATTTTTTAACCTATTCTTTTTCTTGTTATTGCAAACTTTGTTAATTCTGTTTGTTGAACAATTTTGTTACTTATTTTGCATTTGATGTTGGCTACTGACCCCACAAGCTATGTTTCCAAGTAAAGAAAAAAAAAAGATCTTTTTCCTTGTTGATATAAATTGACATATTTGTGATCTTAGGAATAAAATCCTTCTTCTCAATAAATTCCTTTTTCATTGTTAATTGGCTTTGAGAATTTAACTTACTACTGATCAACAAGATTAACTATAGTTCAATGGTGAGTTCAATGGTAACATACCCATGAGAAGTTTTTTTTTTTTTTTTTATTTTTTTTTTTTTACAAACATTTTATTCTCATGTTAGATGTGTAGTTAGTATGGTGGTTATCTACACAGGAAGTGGACTCAGCAAACTGAGTTCAAAGTTCACTTTTGCACAAATGCCCCTGTGACAAAACATAAATTCATCTCTTTTCCCCAGTACTGGATTATGTAACAAGGCAGACTAGGCTCTTGAGCCTTGGATGGTAACCAGTCTAGGAGAAGGACAAGAGTTCATGACAATTCAAGTATTAATGAAAAGAAATCTAAAGGACATGGCATTAGGAAAAAAAAAAAGAAGAATTTTCAATGTTTTTTCTATTATTAAAATAAGTTTTACACAAAGCTTTTGTTTACAAAGGAAAACAACAATTATTTTCAGCTTTAACTTTTCTTTACATCTTTTTTACTTTTCCAATCAAATTTAATGAGGAAATTCTTTCTTTCAGAAAATTTCCATTTTTTTTCAAGTCTGACAAAGAATAATTTGAAA